CAAGAATATGATCATTCAGAATAATAATGTTGTGGCCTGTCATACCCTTCCACGAAGGAATGGCGGAGCGAAGCCTGCAATAGTTGTTCGGTTTGTGAATCGGAAGCATAAAGCCGAGTTACTGAGGCAGGCCAAGAAGTTGAAGGGTACGGGGGTGTACCTGAATGAACATCTTACAAAAGAGAACGCTGATATTGCTAGACGTGCACGGATTCTGAGGAAACAGAACAAGATACAAGCTACATGGACAAGAAATTGCAAAGTGATGATACAGCTAAATGGAACACCTGAAGAAGCCAAAGTATACGCAATAAGAGAACTCAAAGAATTTGATCAGTATGGATAATCAATCACACAGATCATAAAATGTACGAGATTGAAAATGATATTGACCTGGAAAATCACTTTTTTAATAATGTAAATAACAATTGTCGTGAGTATTATACAGAAGATAAATTTAATAGAAACGTGAATATGGAGGGGGCATTATCAATAATACATTTAAATAGTCTTTATAAAAATTTCATACACATTAAGGATTGTCTGTGTCATGTTTTGCCCCTGTCTCTGTTCCTGTTTGTCCTTATTTGGTCTTGGTGCTGTCCTCGTTTAGTTGATTATGATCCCATGCACCTGTGTTTCCCCCAATTATCCCCAGTATTTAAGTTCCTGTTTGTTCAGTCTTCCTTGGTCGGGTCTACTCGTTACCTACTCCTTGTGAACATCATCCCTGTGCTCTGTGTCTCCATGTTTGATGATTAAAGACTCTTGTATTGTGAATTCTCCGCATCTCCTCGTTTCCTCGCTCCCATGCTCCAACGGATTGTGACAGAAGACCCGACCCAAAACAGTAAACTCCGTGTGTCTACCCTCCGTTTTGTTTCCCGTTTTCACCCGGTGTCTTTTTTTTCCGTTGTTCCCTCATGGATGCCCTCCTTCGCCCGGAATATCTCCTCCTTCTGGAGCAGGGGGAGACATCGCTCGAGGACCATACGAGACTGTTCCAGCTGCTAGCAAGCACCACCAGCTACCCGGACGACAGGCTCTGTGCGTTCTACGATGCCAGTCTAAACATCGAGTGCAGAGCGCCGTCGTCCGAAGATGGTCTTTGAGTGGATTTCACCACCTTTGTGGAGTACCACTCCCGACCCAGAGCCCAGCCCACCATCGCATCAGCCCGAGCCCCCCATTGACGGAAAGCCATTTCCCGCCGCGATCAGCAAGCCAGCGCAAAGCCGAGCGACTGAGCAGAGGATCGCCCCGGACGTAGAGCTGAACCCGTCAGACCAGGTGCGAGAGCCGGCAACAATGCCCGACACGAGGGAGAAAGCCGCGGACGGTGTGAGCACGGAGAGAAGCTCCGCCCCCTGCACCGCGGCTGAGGGTGAGCTGAGTATGGCGCGGTGAATGTGCCACACCGAAGAGGAGAGGGCTCCTGTTCCAGAATCCAGCCCAGAGAGGGCTCCAGTCCCCAAATCCAGTCCAGAGCGCCCTCCAGTGCCCGCTCCTTGAAAGCGCCCTCAAGTGTCCGTTCCTCCAGAGTGCCATCCTATTCCCGTGTTCAGTCCAGAGGTGGCTCCCGATCCAGAGCTTAGCCTTGAATGCCCGGAGGCTCACAAATCCCCGCCCTCCCACCCGCTCCTGTCTGGCAGCCCCTCTGCTCACCCTCAGTCCACCATCATTACGGTGTAAACTCCGCGGGTCTGCCATCCTCCAGCGTCGCCATGGCTGGAGAATCCCTCACCTCCGCCTCCAGCCTCCGAGGCCCGGACTCCGCCTCGGCCCGTAGACCCAGCGGCTCCACCTCGGCTCTTAGCTCCCTCGCCTCCACTGTCACCTGTTGACCCACCAACTCCACCGGGCTCCCTCGTCCCTCCGGCTCCACCTTGGTCGGGCATCGAAACCCGCCATCGCCTTAGGACTCCGCTCCTCTGGCTGCACCTCGTCGCTCCGTCCAAACGAAATATGAAGGGAAAATAGTAGGAGGATTATTTATAAATGATATGACTGATCATCTTCCAGTTTTTGCAATCTTTCAAAGACTATTTGAAAAAAACAAAAGGAATTAGGATAAATAGCTTTAAAATAATTCGACATAGAACAAGAGAAGTCATTGCTGCTCTCGGTGAGGACTTAAAGAATCAAAATTGGAGTGAGGTTTATGTAAGTAAAGATCCTAATAGTGCTTATGATGCTTTTTTGTCCATATTAATTGAAAAATATGAAAAACATTGTTTGTCTAAGACTGTAAAGAAACAAAAAAATTTGCATAAACCATGGATTACTAAGGGAATAGAGAAAGCATGCAAAAAGAAAAATGCATTATACGGGAAATTTATAGCAACTAGAACTAAACAAGCGGAAAATAAATATAAGGTATATAAAAATAAATTAATAAGCATTATAACTATTATAAGAAGTTATTGGACAAGCATAAGAATAACATACAAACAACATGGAAAGTACTTAATAGTATAATTAAAAAGAATACTGTAAAAGTAGATTACCCAAATTATTTGGTTAATGATGATAAATTAAGTATAAATAAAATGAATGACATTGTATTTTGTTCATATTGGGTACAATTTAGCAAAAGAGATTGTGGAGCAGAGAACTGGGGATAGGATAGATTAAATGAATATTTCCAGTAATGATTACTCAATGTTTATTAGGGGAGTTGATGAAAAAGAAAATACTTGACATTGTTAATAATTGTAAGAACAAATATTCCACTGATTGTAATGATATTGACATATCGTTAATAAAAAATTTTTATAGAATATATAGTAAAACCATTTACACACAATTGTAATCAGTCCTTTTTAATAGGCATATTCCCAAGTAATATGAAACCAGCGAAAGTTATTCCTAAGGCATATTCCCAAGTAATATGAAAACAGCGAAAGTTATTCCTATTTTTAAAAGTGGAGATCGGCATCTTTTTTCCAACTATAGACCAATTTCTCTTCTTTCCCAGTTCTCAAAAATTCTAGAGAAAATATTTGTGCGTAGGCTTGATAATTTCATAGACAAACACAAATGATTGAGTGATCATCAGTATGGCTTTAGAACAAACAGGTCGACCTCAATGGCTGTGATGGAACTGGTAGAAGAGATTTCTTCTTCAATGGATAATAATGAATATACTGTGGGGGTGTTCCTAGATTTAAAAAAAGCTTTTGACGCTATTGATTATGGCTTATTAATGATGAAACTGGAGAGATATGGTATAAGAGGAAAAGCCTTTGCTTGGATAAAAAGTTACCTCGATGACAGATATCAATTTGTACAAATAAATAATGTTAAATCAGATTTAATGAAAGTTACTTGTGGTGTTCTGCAAGGTTCGGTGCTAGGCCCCAAATTGTTTGTACTGTACATAAATTATATTTGTAAAGTGTCTAAAGTATTAAAAATGGTTTTGTTTGCTGATGATACAAATTTATATTGTTCGGGGAAAAACTTGGAACAGCTTCTGATTACAGTGGAAATCGAACTAATGGTTTTCAAAAAATGGTTTGATGATAACAGACTTTCACTGAATTTAAGTAAAAAAACAGTTTATAATATTTAGTAATCGACAAAGTAACAATAAAGTTAAATTAAGGATTAAAAATTAGGAAATATAAAGAGTGTATGAAAATAAATTTTTGCGTGTTATAATTGATCATAAATTATGTTGGAAACCTCATATCAATCATGTAAAAACAAAAATGCCCAAATCCATTGCAATATTAAATAGAATAAAACATATTTTGAATGAAAAAACCTTATATATATTGTATTATGCGCTCATAGTTCCATACATTACTTATTGTGTGGAGGTGTGGGGTCATACATATAAAACTAATCTAAATGTAATATATATGTTACAAAAGAAAGCTATTAGGATTGTTAAAAGGGTTGATTATTATGAACCAACAAACAAATTGTTTATTCATTTACATTCTTTAAAATTTGTTGATTTAGTTGATTTATATACATCACAGATAATGTACAAAGTTTATAATAATTTACTTCCAAATTGTATTCAGAGGCTGTTCAAAATAAGAGAAAGTCAGTATAATCTAAGTGGATTGTATATATTTAAAAAAGTAAGGGCAAGAACTAATGCAAAAAGTAGGTGTTTATCTGCCAAAGGGGTACATCTATGGAATATATGTGATAAGGAATTAAAATTATGTAATTCACTTGGCAAATTTAAGAAAATTTATAAAAATAAGGTGATAAATAATTATATGACTCAGTATCAATAATTGTGAATATATTGTTATAATATTGAAGTAATAGCTGGAAAGTGTATTTTTGTTATGTTTGTTTTGAATGGTGCGGTCGGTCTCATATTTTCTTGATGACCGCGAAAAGAACTCAAAATACTCCGTAATTTTTGATCGTACAGATAAGAATAAGGTATAGTTTGAAACTGCAAGGGTCTACTTTTATTTGTGTATAGTCATAATAAGAAAAAAACAATGTGCTTTTGTAAAATAAAGAAAATAAACAGGGTGCGTTCTCCACCGTCTCGGTCTCTGTCACCTCTCTTCACAGACACGTAAATAAAACAACATGAATCTCAGCGAATACTTGCCTCAAAGACATGAGAAATATATATATTTGTGATATATATGATATATGAAATATATGATTTCATTTATTTCCCTTATATTCTGTGGAGAAATTTGGATGGAATAAGACACATCATAAGTTTTAGATCTTTAGTCAATTAATTAGTAGCTTAATATTTAACTTAATTCGTTTTTTTTATTCTTTAAATCTTTAAATGTCAAGAATCCAGTCCTTTGTATTCCGTTCATGATTGGAGAATATGCTCAGGTGTTGGTGTTATAATTGCGATAACTTCACACTTGATCAATTTAGATATGTAATTTAGAAAAAAATCTGTGATATCGATAGCTTTCTGAATCTGTGGTTTATCCTTTGAATCAAACCTTTATCTTATAGTTGAATTGTGTTTTAATGTCTGTTTTGTGTGAACGGGACTTTTATTTTGGTGGGGCGGTGTGACGTCATAAATCTGCGTCGCGCTCCTGCGTCTGAGATTCTGCTGAAGAAAGGTTTGTGTTTTTGATCCTTAAAGTGTTTGAATCAACACTAACCGTTCAGACAGTTTTACAGAGGACTTTGAAATGAATTAAATATGTTTTAATGTAGTGTTTTAATCTGTCTAATAACAGTAATGAACGTAGTTTTTAAAAGTAAAGCACATCCACACATGAGTAACAGAAAAGATGCGTCTGATTCAGCTCCCTATATAGTGTAGCAGTTCATCAAAAACACACTGTCTGCTCACTGGCCTGTAAGTAACGCCAGAGTAACAGAACTTTTAAAAACCAGTTGAGATTCAGTTAAATCAAATGCTCTGATAATGTTCTTTTTTATGCGCTTGGTCTCATAATTGTTTGTCAAGAAAGTAGTCTGTGTATTATTTGAAAAGTTTTGTGCGTCATCAGATTTAGACAGAAGAAAGTATGATTTTTGACTAGAATATTTTATTTTGACCTGGAAGTTTGAGGTTTGTGTTTATGGTTGTGAGAAAATGATTAATTGTTTTATGAATTGTGTGTTAGCAATCAGGAAAAATAACCCGACTGAAAAGTTTGAGAGAAAATATTATGCTGGCTTGTCTCGAAGCCACCTTGTTTAAAAACCATAAATAGTTTAGTTGGTTTGGTCAGAATAGATCTTGCGGGTGTTTGCTAGGCTCTTGCTGTGAAGTTGCTGGGGTGCAGTAACAGATATTTTTTGCAAAACTGGGGGTTATTCCAGAAAGCAGGTTATGTGACATACCCGGGTATGTTTAAGGTAAATAATCGGATAAACTCAGCATTCGGCTCCAAAAACAGAGGTAACTTTGTATGTATGTATGTAAGTAACCAACCAGCCATACTCTGAACATAACCTGCAGAGTAGCTTCTTCAAGGTTAGTTTACTTTAGAGCTAGTCTCAGCCTCAGAAAAGTGCAAACACTTCAGGAGTTTCGAAGTCGACATCTGTTGATGTGTTTGACTTGGTGCCATGGATATTAAAATGTTATTTATTTTGAATTTTAAAACAATATAGATGATTACTTTGTGGTAGTGCAGTATTTGTGAAGAAAACGGTGTATGTCAGGCCATAAATTCTAGAGCCCGACCGATATATCGTTTAGCCGTTATTATCGGCCGATGTATCGGCCTTTTTTTACTCCCTAATATCGGTATCGGCCCCAAAAAACCCATATCGGTCGGGCTCTATTAAATTCCCAAAACTACTCTTGCTTTGGTGTTACCACCCTATCAATAATTTTCTAGGGCTGCATTCCAGTTTTTTTTTTCTATGCCCTTCACTTGCAAACTTCCCTCCGTCTCGTTTACTCGGAGGTCATCATTGGTTGCGTTGCATGAGTGCCCACTTCTGGCAGAACCCTTGCAGTGGGCTGAACTGGAACGTCCTAAGCCAAGTTTTGAGTGTTTTTGTCTAATCAGGTCATTAACTCTGACTCTGACTGACTCCCTTACTAGTGCGCTGACTACTGAACTAGGGAGCTGATTGAGACACACCCAGAGATCTGTCTGTTAATTATTCTCATCTCAAACTCACAGAGAAACTCCTGCTGAAGCGACGGAGATCCTCGAGACACTGTTATAAAGATGGCTTTTATTAAAGTCGAGAGCGAAGACATGAAGATTGAAGAAGCATTTAGTGTCAAACATGAAGATACTGAGGAACAGACAGAGATGGTGTTTATTAAAGAGGAGAGGGAAGAGGTGACGATTGAAGAACATTTTCAAGTCAAACATGAAGATACTGAGGAAATAACAGAGATGGCGTTTATGAAAGAGGAAAGGGAAGAGGTGACGATTGAAGAAGATTTTCAAGTCAAACGTGAAGATACTGAGGAACTAACAGGTTGGTTTCATTCTCAAAGTCTTTCTTCACTCATGTATGCATGTGCTCTGGTGTATTGTAAATAAAGCCGTCAATATTGTCTTATCAGTTTGAGCCCGAATCAGACCAAAAAAATTACTGAAGAGGAACCTATGCAAGCACAACTTTTGCAGGACGTTTCAGTTTTTTTTCTTTGTAGTTGTCTAATACTTTTTAGATGCGCTGTTATTTGTAAATGCTACTGCTGTTTATGTCAGCTTTTACGGTTTTATCGTTATTAAAGCTTTAGTCTTCGTAATGGGCTCGTAATTCTGGTGACTAACCATGGCTTTACTACAGTGGCCAAATCAAATACAGAACCATATTTAGTGTGCCTGTAGCTTAACGATCATTTGGGTAAACACTAGGGCTGCTCGATTATGGCAAAAATCATAATCACCATTATTTTGGCAATATTGTAATAACGATTATTTAACACGATTATGAGTGTGGGCGATATGACCAAAACGATATGAGTGATTTATTTAAAGACAGTGATGTATCAAATATATATGTTATGTAAATAAGGATGCTATGACATCTATATTTTAGAGACCAGCACAATTTCACAATTCTCAATACCACAGAATACTAGGGTAACTAATATTAGTAAAAAAAAAAAAAAAAGCCCTCAATTATTGAAAATAATTAAACCGTCTGTAATACAAAAAAAACAAATACAATAGAATAAAACTATACAAATGAAACAAACTGTGCTTGAGGTGTTTAAGGCTAATGCAGGTCTAAAGTATTCAGTTAACAGCCTACTACAGAAATTAATAATCAAATGTAAAACAAAACAGCATAGTCTTCACTGTAACAATTAAACATTCTTTGTTTCTTATTGAAGCTACAAAAGAGCAGTGAGTTTGTCTTTTGTTGTTTGATTATTATTATTAAGCGCACAATCGGCAGCAGAAATATAGACTGCTGTCACTTTAAGACCCGCACAAATCCATGTATTTTCATTCTCAACTATTTAAGTTAATTTATTACAAAACGACGAGGGTTTATGTGAATAATCACTAAGCGCTGCATTTTGACACATTTTTGCGTGTATTTGACCGTTTAGGCGTCCATCAGGTAAAAGATGATTTGATCAATCCGATACCAAGTAAACACAAGGCCAGTATCGCAGATACCGATACTTTTTCCTTTTAAAATCATACATTTAAATGACCAATTACACATTGAAAATTAACAAAAACTAATGTTAATAAGCCTAAAATATTACATTTACCTTAAAGCTATGTGGATATTCTTTGCTTTTCTGAAAGAACTTTGCAAGCAGAGGAGCCCAGAATATGAAAGCAAAATTTCATGTTAAGCATTTTCCTCCCTTTAGGGCTGAACGATTAATTGCATTTGCGATATCGCGATATGAAAAAAATGTGTTTTTTCAACCGCAGAGGCTGTGATTACACTCGGTCACGTGACACGCGAGAGTAAAGAGATGTGTTCGACTTGAAGATCGATCGATGTATGACATCAAAGTACGGCGAGAGAAAGCATAAGGAGACGTCCGCTCTCTTATAGATCTCGCAGTACTTTGATGACACACCAATCGGTCTAAGCAGCGCTGCTTCAAGTCGAACACATCTAAGCAGTCTTCAGAGGAAGCATCAAGTTGGTACAGTGTTGCCAAGTCCACGGTTTGCCTCCAAAAACGTGATATTTAGCCCCTGGAGTGCGAATCTTACCAGGGGAATCCCTCCAAAAAAAACATGTATTTTACCCCCCTGAATGCGGTTTTTAATGGTGACCCCTTTCAGAATGTGATTTGGCTAGTTTTGAGTAGCAATTGAGCGGGTTTTGTTGTGAAAACCTGGCAACCCTGGCACGCTACACACGGAGTAACAGTGTTACGGTGCATTTCATTACTGAAGACTTCGACCTTAAGATAATACATATAAGGTAATATATATATATATTCTTATTTATTTAAAGTCTGTCCAGAGTTAACAGACAGTGTTTAAAAAATGCAATCCACATGTTTACATAGGCCTATATGTTTATTACAGGGACTTTGAATTACCTAAATACTGAGTGTGGTAAAGCAACAGATTTGTTTTTATATTTCTGCAATCTACTTTAGTTTGTGTGATTTGTTACTGACTTTCATATTAATGTTTACACCAGGCTTATTTGTCATTGCTTTATGTTGTCATAATAATTATTAGCCTACGTGCGTTCAAGGCTGGAAGTTCAACAAATCAGTCAGTATACTGTGATTGTAGTTGTTAAATAAATGTCATTCATATCAATTCACGCATCACCTAATTTCATCGTAACATGCTTGGCCTACAGAAAATAACATTTATGTTTAATCTATCTAATATTGTGTTGATCATACTATACAATGATTTATTGCTAGTCTTTGTTGAATAATACAGAACATAAAGAGCTTTAAAGGGGTCCTAATATGGTTTTTCACTTTTTCAACTTTAGTTAGTCTGTAATGTTGCTGTTTGAGCATAAAAAAGATCTGCAAAGTTACAAAGCTCAAAGTCCACTTCAAAAGGAGATATTTTATTTAACAGAAATCGGGACAGAATGGGACGAGACCTGGTTGAGCTGCACTAGAGAAGGCAACGAGTGTTATCACTATGTCGGAGACACGCTAGCTTTCCCAAGGCAGACGAACACAGGCCCAGCTAGCCAATCACAGCGCACGCTGGCCCAGCTAGCCAATCACAGCGCACGCTGGCCCAGCTAGCCAATCACAGCGCACACTGGCCCAGCTAGCCAATCACAGCGCACACTGGCCCAGCTAACCAATCACAGCGCACACTGGCCCAGCTAACCAATCACAGCGCAACTGGCCCAGCTAACCAATCACAGCACATTTTGTATTTACGTTTAATCTATCTATCATGGCAGAATCACTCTGGACCCCTCAGATCTAGCACACTCCCTCTTTGAACTGTTGCCCTCTGGTCGACGCTACAGAGCACTGAGCACCAGAACGGCCAGACACAGGAACAGTTTCTTCCCTCAGGTCATCCATCTCATGAACACCTGACAATAATTGTGGAACACACACTATTTATTCACTCATACACTTATTTATCTAACACACATACTCAGTCTACATTTCAATTTGCA